AGCTTTCTCTAAATTTAGTTGTTTTGATCTGTTTTTATCATTAGCATACCAAAACAAATGGGCATATTAGAAGTTCCTTGCATTTTTTAAATTTACCTAACATATATAATGAAGTGGGGTGTTTTGTTTTGTTTTGTTTCTTTAGGTCTTGCTCCTTTGGTCTATTTGTCAGATGAATGCCATAATTTATTGGCAATAAAGTTTTGGGCCGACCTTAACGAGGACATTATTAAACCTCACACATTAATTGCTGCAAGCAACCTCCAGTGGCGACCAGAAGCCAAATCAGGAATTCCTACTTTATTTGCTGGAGATTTTTCCAGGTTTTCTGCCAGTCCAAAGGAGGGCCATTTTCAACAGCTATTCCACAAAATGAAAAACACTATCGAGGTAAAATTACTTTGTGCATTGCCACGCATTTTGGTATTTTCCTATTTTGATGGTCAAATATTAAGGAAATATGGTGGCTTCTATGAAAATTGGATAGTTGAGATACGATGTAATGAGGTTTCATCCTGTATAAATTGCTCACGAGCCTGAGGAGATGGGAGGACAACAGCTGGGAGATGATGATTTGGAGGGGACTGAGTGAGGGGAACCTGTGAGGAGGACGGTCAGAGCTACAGATCATGTGACCAACAAGAATTACAGGAACTGCCCATGGTTCAGAGCAGTTGGTAGTGTAGTCAGTAACATGCAGATTCCAAATTTACATTTTAAACTCCATATCTAGTATTTTATAGTTTATATCTGTCTTTGATCTGAAATACTCCCAAATAGGAGAACACTGAAATTTATTTTCCCTGGATAATGTATGCATTTTATCCTTAAATCTATATAAACAGCAAGTAATAATATTAGCTAAAGTTTAGAGTACTTACTGTGTGTCAGGCCTTGTTCCAACCCTGTCGCATTTAATTCTATCACCAACCCTATGAGGTATGGAGCTTTTTTCCATTTTACTGATGAAAAACAGGTTAAGGCACACAACCAAGTTGTTAGAAGCAGGATTCATACTTAAGCCATCTGAATGTGTAGCCCAAACTATTAAGTACTTTGCAGTGCTGCCTTCCAATAAAATTTTGGATTTTATAAATTGCTAACTAGTAAAGAATCTTCAAGATAACCCTCTTTAATATTTGAAATGTGTGTTATTCAAAATATATATAAATAAAATTATGTTTTAAAAGCATTAGAGTAGCCAGCTATGTGAAGGAGTTTGTGTAATATTTTACCTAAAGACTCAGTACACATAGTGAAGAATAACACCCTGATTTATCTGGTTCCTAAATTGGGGGGGGGGGTGCATTCATTATTTGGCTCCCATACAGAGTACATCCAGGTTTTCTCTGAGACTGTTTAAGAGTACTTCAGAGACAACTGACTGTCATTTACATAGCATTTTTAAGTCTTACAAAATACTCTCATCAATTAGGTTAAATCCTATAAAATTGCTGGTATTTGACCAATTGAAATTTCTGAAACAACAGTTTTATGTGGTTTAGCCTACACATTGTTTCAGTTAATTCTTGGAACAGACATGAGGTGATTCTCTCATTTTACTACTAACCTAAGGCATACTCTATAGATGTTAGATGATTTACAGCTATCAGGTAGGAAATAGAGCTGGACCTGGAGACCGTCTTCCAGCTACGAATCCAGTATACATGTGAAACCTTGCTTATTAAACTGGATGATTGGAAAGATCTCTCCCATCTCTTTCCTTCCCTGACATACAGACTCCCTCTCTCCCTCCAACCACTGTGTTGGCTTTGCATTTTTACACTGGCAGATTGCTTGACAATTGCTGTCGAATTTGGGGTGTGTCATTCTTTTCCTTCTGGTCTGAACCTTTTATTTCTGGTTTTAAAAGTAACATTTTCTGAAAACATGAATATGTGCCTTTTCATTTTACAAAACAGCTTTTCCCGTTTATTTTCTTAGAATATTGGTATGTTTTGCAATGATGCAGAAAACAAACTTATGCATATACTTAATGCAAATGCTCCCAAGTTGTCCACCCCGAATAAAGACTATGCTTCAGGGCCACACACTGCTCAAACAGTCCTTGGCATGGGAAATAAATTTCTGGTAAGTTAATGTAAATTTAAGGAATTTTGTAAATATTATAAATGAAGGCAATAATATATTTTGGTGCATACCTAGTAAACATGGTAAAATGTAATTAAACTTACCTAGAAAGTATGGTTAATTGTTGTCTGGCTCCTGTAAGTCTAGGTTATCTAGAAATTCTATCTTGTTTATCAAAGCCAGAATGTAACGTTCTTTGGGGGCAAATTTTACAAACAGGTGCTTTCATTTTTAGCTTTGCAAGTACATGTGATGGAAAATACTTTGCTTGTGTCCTTTTGCTCGGAGGACTAGTCTATACAGTTAGGGTTGTTTCTAAGCTCAGTCTGATTTAACTCTTTAAATCACAATACATGTACATCAAGCCATAAGGTCTGTAATACTGGCTGATGACTAATTTTTAAGTAGCTAACAGTTGCTAGGTGTATCTATATTAACTCAATCTTCACAATGATCCATGGGATGGAAATTATCTTCATTTTACAAATGAGGAAACTATGTCCTAGAGAGGCTGAACAATTGCCTAAAGTCACAAAACTAGAAAAGTATACCTACTAGAACCCAGTCAGTCTGTGCTCTTAAAATGGTTTAAAACTGCTTATCTTTGTTTAAACTGTTAATGAAAAAGAAAAGATTAGTGCATAAGTTAGGTCCCCCTACCTCCTTTTTTGTCTTTTAGTACAATTAGTCTTCATTCTTCTTTCTTTTCCTGTCATTTTTATATCCTTTTATGCAAAACTATTTCCTTCTGGAATGAGCACAATCATATCAAGGTCTCTTGGAACACTCTGACCTATGAGTCATGAGGGGAGTGACAATGTGTGTGGTATTTGTGTGCCTAAATATTTCTAATGAGGGGTGCATGCGTGGCTCAGTCAGTTAAGTGTCTGACTCTGGTTCCAGCTCAGGTCATGATCTCAGGGTTGGGATCGAGCCCTGCATCGGGCTCCACACTCTGGGGAGGCTGTCTGCTTGAGATTCTCTCTCTCCGTTTCCCTCTGCCCCTCCCCCCTTCTCTCTCTCAAATAAATGAATCTTTAAAAAAATAATTCTAATGAAAAGCTAACTTGGTGATGTTTTATATATTAGTGCATAATTATCTAGGCTGCTTTTTGTCTTTTTATCAGATGTCTTCTCCCAGTAGTGAGATGAATTACCAGAGTCCTTCATCACTTTGTAAGCCAAAAGAGAAGTTTGTTCCCACACCTGGATCAGCCCAAATGATTTCAAAGTCTTATTGCAAAGGGGAGAAAGAGATGGATGACCCAAAAAGCTGCAAGAAGAGAAAAGCTTTGGATTTTTTGAGTAGACTGCCTTTACCGCCACCTGTCAGTCCCATTTGTACATTTGTTTCTCCAGCTGCACAGAAGGCCTTTCAGCCACCACGGGCTTGCAGCACCAAATACGAAACACCTATGAAGAAGAAAGAGTTGAATTCCCCTCAGATGACTCCACTTAAATTTAGTGACCTTTCCCTTTTGGAAAGTGATTCAATAGCAGACGAAGAACTCGCATTGATAAACACGCAAGCCCTTTTGTCGGGTCCAGCAGGAGAAAATCAACTTATGTCTCTCAGTGACTCCCCTAGGACTGCTCCCGAGAGCTCAAAGGATCTTCTGAGGCAGAAAAGGCATTCTGCTGCATCTGGGGTCACAGGATGCGGGAGCTCCCAGGCCCGCACCGAAGAGCGGGAGACCAATGTGCAGGACGCAAGTACAGTGAAAAGGGCATCTATGAGACTGCAAAGGCGACAAAAACAAAAATGACAATAAATCAGTTACTGACTCAGCCTTTCCAATTTGTAGAAAATGCAGCTTCAGCCTATCAGGATTTGCATCAAGTACATCAGGATTTGCATGAGAAAAAAAGGACACAGTCCCAAATCTCCCTATGTGCTTGTCTATCTCAGGAATGCGCCTGGCCTGTCTCTGTAACGATATACTTTAATCTCAGTTACATGTCCGAAAATTGACTGTGTATTTATTTACTAACCAATCAAGAAAAAAAATCTTTAAATCTTTATCACTGGATTTGATCACTGGATTTGATCAGGTGTATTTTACAAAGTAAACATACCTTTCTCTTTAAATTGTGTCCTTAATTAAGTGAAACTAGGTTTCTAAGTACAGTTATTTTGACTCCTGTAATTCCTTTTAGTTTAGTTCCTACTTTAGGTGATTTGGTTTGGTTTGGTTTGGTTTTTTCAGAGGTAACCCACTATGAACCACTTTTCCTTAACGAATGTTGGTTCTCTTATAGTTCTATCCTGATCAAAAGTCAGAGGGAGTAAGAAACAACAGTGGTGTTTTCCTTAGACCAATTCTTCAACCTTAAGTCAGCATAACTGCAAGAAAAACAGAATCTTCAATGTAATTCCTTTTTATGATTCCAGTGTGATCACTGAATTATTTTAATTAAAAATTCAAATGCTTTAAAGCAGATTTCATAGTGTTCTTGTTTTTTTAACAAAATGATCATCTGCAACTTAAGAGAAAATCTTTCTTTCAAATTGGCCGTGATTCTCCCTGCTTTATTTTTAGTCCTATCACAGGACTCAGCAAGTCCTTCCTTCAAACCTGGTTTTCTCTAACCACCAAGGCAGACAGGAATAGTTCAATATAAGAGGACATTCTCATCTGTTACCTTTCTATGCTTAATAGAGAAAAGAGAATGCAGTTCTAATAGGAGTTAATAGCATGGAGAAGCTCTTCAAACAGGTCTTTTAATATGTCTTAAATTTATATAAAATACCATGTTTTCAAATCTAATTATAAGCACATTTCAAACCCTAGAATAAATCTTTTAAGAAGCAGTTTTTTTCTTTCATAACTGTGATCCATGATTTTTCTCTCCTCTAAAAATTATTAACATAATAAATAGTCCATTCTGCAGTTTTTTTAACTCCGGTGTTCTGCCAGTCTTAATAATATGTGATTTAAGTTTTGTTCAGACAATTTGGTCCTTCACACCCCAATCATTTTCCAAGTGATCCACTCTAGAACAGGGAATAAAACTTGAATCTCAGGTGAACAAAAAGAATTATAAGAATTTTACCTCTTTTTTTTTCATTCCTAGAAAACCCGAATTGCTAGTACCTCCTCCATTCTTCATTACCATTTAGATCACAGAGAGATCTCATGCACACCTTTTTTTATGTTGTAAATAATATAGCAAAGCTATATAAGCAAACTATGAAGCTTAAGTATATATGGATATTATCCTCTAAGAAGTGACAATGATTTCAAAGTCAAGAAGGTACACTGTATAAGGAATAAAAGGTAAAAGCAACTTGTGTTATTCAACAATCACTTAATGAGAGCCTATTATCTTGTACATAAAGCCCTACGCCAGCTATATGAATGATGCAAAGGTTAGTAATACAAAACACCACAAGCTAAAGTTGAGTGTTCAAAAAATTACATACGAATTAAGAGAAAAAATAGATCACTTCTAGCTGGGATAAAGCTGGCAGCACTTAATTCTTTTTATGTTTCCAAACCAAGTATTTCAGGAGTCATACAAGAAAAAAAAAAAAAGAGAAACAGACAGGGACACTACTCTTCTGAGCTCTTTAAAAGCTCTGGATCTAAACCTGGGGCCACTTCATACTGGTTACATAGCAGTAAGATTTCACTTGTGTCAGGTATTGAAATGTTAAAGTAATAGTCTTTCTAATGTGCACAGATCAGATAATTTCAGCATGTAAAATACAAGGTTGCTTTTGTCTTTATGTCTCCTATTAGAGGAGACTGGTAAATAAGTTTGATATAGAAAAACTGGTTCTTAATATGGTAGAATTCTATGGGATTTAGGTGATTAACTTTTTTATATCATTGGTCTAAAAAAAGTTTAGATTCAATGACAAATTCATAGAAAGCAATACCATATGTAATTTTTAATAGCCATAAAAGCACCATTATATAGGACACTTAAAATAATATTTCACAGAACATTAGAAAGAAGCTGTTGGCCAACAAGAAATAAAGCATACATCCTACATGGTCTTACTTATCATGGTCTCACACCAAATTAATCTGATTCTAACCTGCTGAGATTTAATTTGGAATCATAGATTCAGTATTGGCATAAGAGGGACATTCCAGAGTTGTGGCAGAACTTCATTGTCTTAATGCCACATAAAACACCAAGACTGGTCATCTTCCAATGGGCATGGCTTAGACATACCCCTGTATGATTTCTATCTTGGGATGTTTAATTCCTTGCACTCCCAAACATTTGGGCAGCCAAGTATCACACACATGTCTATTAACAGGCATAGTTTTAAAAACTGCTTAACTCTCTTAAAAATTGGTGTTTTATAAAATCAGGCTTCTTTAATTTACACTATTAGCACAACAGCCAAAAGTTAGGTTAAACTTATTCAATAAAGTGGTAATTTAAAACCAAGATGTGACTTTAAATAATGACACTGATTTTCCTCAGCAGCTTGTAGAGCTGTTAAGAAGGATTCGACAGGGGCGCGTGGGCGGTTCAGTCGGTCAGGCACCTGACTCTTGATTTCAGCTTGGGTCATATCTCAGGGTCGTGAGATCGAGCCCCACAGTGGGCTCCGTGCTGAGCGAGGAGCCTGCCTAGGATCCTCTCTCCCTCTCCCCCACTCTCGCTCTCTTGCTCTGCTGTCTCTCAAAAAATTTTTAAAAGAAGGATCCGACAGACCTTTTTAACAACACATCACTAGAATAAAGAGTAATTCCCCAAGTGTCTACTTCGAAGGACAACATTCCCTTAGGTGTATGCTCTCTGGCATGTGCGTTTTAAAGGAAAATCAGTATCATCGTGACAGCCACACCTCGCACATTTTGAGGATACACAGATTCTCAGAGTAGCAACGGCACTAACATTTTTCCTGCCTCCCACTTCTCCCCCACTTTTCCAACTTTCCTGATGGAGATGAATTTCCTGGAAAAATAGATTCCTTCAGAGAAAGTGGTACTAAAGCTTCTACATATTAGACTTAGGTGACTGCTTCCGTGCTTGGGTACGTTCTCAGGTTTCAGTTTCCAATCTCTGGCTTCCCTAGAGAAAGAGACTCTGTTTACAATCAAATCGGCCGAATTCCCAGCGTTGGACCATGCATACAGGATCACTTTAACAAATGCTCGGCGAAGATGAAGTATAATGGCTTCTGCTCAAAAACTTTCAGGTCCAACTATTTACACTGGAATTAGAGCTTTGACGAAAACCGAACAAAGAATAAATACCAAAATTGGCAGTAAAAACTGATTTAGGAAAATTTCGAATGCCTGTAAGATAGGCTTCTAATATCCATGGTGACAACCGCCTCTTCTGTTACAGGAGCCCTCGTTTGTGAAGCCCCCAGGAGCCCTCCGGTTGGGAAACTCTTCATAGGGATTCCAGTATCGTGCGCCATTGGAAGGGGACGCGTTATTCCTGTCCTGGTTTCTGTTCATTCTGCTGGGCTTTTCGGCGTGAAGCACGCTGTGAAAGGTAACATCGTGTTCATACCGCTCCTTCATTCGGTGTATTTTTTCTCTTGGGACTCCATGAATGTTTCTTCTATGTGGGAACAAATGCAAACATTTACTTAAGGCAGCCTATCAAAAGGAATTACTTGCATTTTACTTAGAGATGCACTCCCTTGTCTCAGGATTTAACTCTCACAGAAGCGTGAGGTCTCCTTAAGGAGTTCTCTTTCAGGCTCCACTCCTGTTTTGCATGCTGCCTTGAGCCTAGCAAAGAGCAACACCTTCACAGATGCTTTGTTTCTAGAAGTCTCAATTCTGTGCCTCAATACGTAAAAGAACATCATGAGGTCTTTTTATTATATATTTGCCTTTGAATCATGCGTATCTCTATAACCGATTCATGTCAGTCAGTCCTAGGTACTTCTAGATGCTAATTAAAATAATCTTAAATTCAAGTGGGCATGAGAATCCACTGGGGATATAGTTCAAAATGCAATTACCAGAGATTCCCCACAATGGAATGGGGCCCATGAACTAGGATTTCAACAACCCCCTCAGGCAATCCTGATGGGGGTGGGCCACAGACCCACTTTGGAAACACTGTCTGCTTGTAACCATAGAATGAACTAGCCTTATTCCTAAAAAGTAAATTCTGATCTCACTGGTTACTTTAAATCACTGGCATTATCTAGTAACACAGATAGTGAATATCAGAACTCATGCACTCAGTCAACAAGTTAGTATTACTTGGACATGTATTGCTTTATAAATGAGAAGCAGCATCTAGACCATAAATGAACCACAGACTGTTCAACATCTAAAGATCTTTAAAGATTTAGCCTAAATGCAGAAACACCACTGACATGTGCAATCCCATGCAGAGAAAAGTGCTTTCAAACGCTCATTAATGAAGAAGCATTTCAGCAGAAAGTTAAATGTGTCCTTTAAAAGGACCAAGTCCAAGCCAAGGTTTAGCATTTAGCATTATATTAGAAAACTGACCCAAAACTAAAGTCTTCACATTAATAATTCCAAAGTTATCAATTTCCAAGAATTACCATTTCTGGCCTGAAAACTACCATGTCCATTTCCAGCCTGAAAAGATTCTTTTGTTCGGTCTGAAATACCTGAAAATAGCAGGATACATAATGAGGAACTAGAAAAACAAAGAAGTACCTTGCTAACTCTTGAACGTTGAATTTCCAGCGAGTGTCAGGTTCTCGGAATATAACTTCATAGTTATTTTCAAGTGCCTGATTTTTCAAAAGTACATAAAACATTGAAGACATGGTATGTATGTTTGGGAATGTTTATGCTGCCATTTCACATTTACTACAAATCCTTTCTACAATTCCTGTTTTACCAGTAATCCAAGGCCTGAGTTTATCTTAACAAGTACAGTTGGTTCATTTCCATGCTTAGCCACTCTCAGACTATATTATGGCTCCCAATGATAAATTTTGGTCCATTTTATCTACTATGTAGGAAAATTATAAAGGTTCGTTGTTTTGGGACATTTTTAAAAAATCGATAGCTGGACTAGTTTTAAATATCCTATTCACAGGTATGAGAAATACATTCAGTGGCTTCTCAAAGTCCCTTATATGATTATCATAGAGTTTCTTCTGTCAAATGCCCTGTCCCATCCCTCACACCTTGGTTAGAAAGTCAGGGTGCCACAGAACAGAGCTTATGAAATAAAAGTGATTTTCCCATACTCTTTACAAACTCTTCCCACCAAAGGGAGCTTTCCCCTCTGATGCAACACAGTTTGGTCCAGTGCACTGTGCCCCATTTTCCTTGAGTTTAGAAAATGATTACAGTTTCCATATAAACATCCAGATATTCTTTGCATTCATAAATTGGCTACTACTTTTTTTAATCTCAAAATCTGAACTTTATTATCACTGTTGTTTATTGTGTTCTAAAATACAGAATGAAAAGAGCAAAGTAAAAAGATTTCCTCTTCATTCTTGAGATGGACCCCTCTAATTAGAGAAGGATTCAAATATCATAAGTGGAAAATATCTAATTTCTGGGTCTTACTAATAGCTGTGGATGGCTGAAAAAGATTGTACATTCCAGATAATAAAAAATAAAAAAGTAAAATATCTTCCCTTAAGCCACTCTCCCGCTAACTCTCGGTTTTGAGTTGTGCCTTGATTAGACTATTCATGTCCTTGTTCATTTCTCTCCCAAGTGGACTCTTGGTCCATGAACTGAAGTAACCACAAAGCTGATGTTCATTCCTTCCTACTCGCGAACCCAAAGTCCCACAGGCTGGGCCCAAGTAAACCTGATGGACGTACAGTTCGAGAAAAGCGCACCTATATGGAAGCTAGTTTGCCCCCAAATTAAAAAGAAGTCACAAGTCCCGTTTTGGAGATATTCCTTTTACAGTTAGCCTAGTGGGGATTGTGTGTGACAAAATCAGACTACTCAGCTGTCTTCTTCCTGCCCTGTGTGTTTCAGGATCTTTTCTCCTGTCTATATACCCAATAAGAAGTGAAAATGTATTACCATAAGAGATGAAATATGTCTGAAAAAAAATCAGACATATTTCAAAATTAAAAATATGCACAATGTTTTATTCATCTTACTGTTCTTTCCTATTCTGACAATAGAGAGCCGAGTTGTTATCTTTGTATATTTATAATCTAGTATCCTAATAGGGTTACAGTGCTAATTCTCAATCTGTTTTTAAACCAAAAAAAAAATTGCCCAGACTCTCCCGCACCAGTACCGCCCAGCACTGAAATCCCTGGCTTGCCAAAGACAGAAAGGTCTTATTATTATCAACCACTCGGCTAGTAGCGTTGTCCAACCAGTATTTCTGTGCAAGTCTCAGAGGGTGCTCCTGGGCATGTATGTCTCCCCTTGGGAAAACAATCAAGACAGAAAAACTATCAAGAATTCAGACCAAGGACAATTTAAAAACGTACCCTGAGGTGATAATTAGCATCTCAGCGAATTTCAGCCATTGAACAACCGAGAAACGCTAAAATTAAACCTCTTTACCTGCGCCCTGAGAGAGCTACGATTAATAAAGATGAGATCATGGCAGATCAGAAGAAGAGGAAAGAACAAATGTTGCAACTTTCTCACAAAATGTCCGTAACTGAAAATTCGGAATGATGCTTCTTCCTACCATGACTGCATAGGGCTTCATTTCCCAGGCGTGGAGGTTGGTATTATCAATAATAATGGGGGATATGCCATTCCTCATTGCTTTTCTGGCTGCAACACAATGTTACAGAACAGTGAACAACATGCAACAATCAGAAGGGTGAGCGTACTCCATATTTTGTTATTTTTTATCACAGCTGTCCTCATTACACAACTTTAGTGCCACATATTTCAGAACCCATTACCAATCATTTTCTTTTTCCTGGAATCTAGGAAGGTTATGCTCTGACATTCTGTTTAGGGGGGGAAATGGCAGAACTTTTGATTACGCTCCTTCTAGAAAACGTATTCATTCTGCAGCAGCTACTATCTATGTGCACGATAGGATTTCCCGGGGAATTTGGAAAGGAATTTGTCACCTCTTTTCTGGTTCCACTCATGCGCTTCCTCCAGGAAGTCAGGATTGAACTCATAGGCACCGTCTTCCCTGAAGAAAAAATCATCCGTGCTGAAAATCAGGGCCCTGGGAAAGTCGTGTTGCAATTGTCTAGAAAGTGGGGAAATAAGAGATTGCTTTATGACTAATCACAGCCATTATAGATTATTTCCTTCCATCTCTAACATTTAGTGGTTTGTAATTATGAGGCCACCAGGTTGCGTGTTATTGAAATTCAGTTTAAGGAGAGAGATGCTTATCATCTCTAGAAGGTACCAGTCCTCCACAGGAGGCTGTGTGTGCGGCCCAACTCCTAAAACTCAGAAGTGTGGTCACCGCATTGACTTCTGCAGCACGAAGACTGACTCTAGATCGGGAGGTTAGGAGAAGGCGTGACGACAGCCTCCTCGTGGGCACTAGTCTTCATTGCCTGTTGTGCAGGGATGCACCAGTGCACCGCCCCCAGGCCCGCCCCCGCTGCCGGCCCCCAGACGGCAGCCCGGCCCTCCCCCCCATCTCTCACCTGTCCCGGGTCCCAGCTCCTTGGAGCTCTGGTCTCTGTAATGACCCATCTGAGACACTAGTTCTTGCTGAGGTATGAGAGGTGGATAGAAGGGCTGCATGTGCGTGCAACCCTCATCCAGGTAACAGTTTACATCTTAACAGTGAGATACACCAAATGGGAACAAGCACACTGGAAGGCAAGAGGTACAGCCGGCCTTCCCCAGGACCTCTTAAACTACTCCCACACTCTCGAAATATGAAAATATCACAGAAAAAAGGAAAACATCATGGAGTGCCCCCTTTAAAACAAAACCAAACCAACAAAAACGCATATTAAATTCTGCACAAAATCACTTCCAAGGGCAGATATTTCCACTTGAAATCCTTATTCAGACAACTTGGGGGGAGAAGATGGATGCGAAGGTAGGTAGTAACTGGGTAAATCTCTGAGCCTCCTCTCGTCATCTGTAGAAACGAAGGATGATTTCACCTGTCCTGCCAGGTCACCACACTGATCCGATAACATGGGGATAATCACGGGTGCAGCGCCCGACACGAGTGTCCGTTTCTTTCCTTCGTCCCTGCGGGGCCAAAACAACTTCCGCTCGCAAGCAGAACACATGACTGAACGGGTACGCTCAGAACACAAAGCGGGGTGGGGGAGAATAAAAAGGAGAAAGCTTGGAGGAAAAAAGGTTGGAGAATGACGAGAACAGGAAACGCAAGGAGAAAGCAGAGCTGTTCAACTGGTGGTGTGTGTTTGTCCTTCTCCGTGAGGAAAGCGCTCTTTAATCAGGAGTGAGCAGAATGCGCCTAAGGCACCAGAGCCCAGATCCTAAACAAGCTTCTAAATTGTTCTGAAAGGCTTGGGTTCAATTCTTGACTCTTCCATACCCAGTCAGGTGACCTCTCTCTCTAAGCTATTTCCCGGACTGAAAACCACAGATGAGCATCACTACCTACCCACCTACCTATCATTTGACTGAAGTGCGGATGAGATCAGATCTGGGGAAACATTTTGCAAATAGTGAGGCACTTTAACAGTGTAAAGTACTATTATTGTATTAATAGTTATAACGCATGAGATCAAATTTACCAACCCCAACTGTTGATGTGCCACAGTAGTAAAATACGCCGGAGTGTGTATGTAATCTTGAAATTACTGCAAGTGAATTCGTATGGCTGTGAATGAAAGAGATGAAAAACCAAAATAAAGCAAACGCCTCAATGTTCAAGAATGAATGAACACATTCCAGAAACAGGAAACAAACAAACATCTCTGTCAAAATTCTTCAGCAGGCTTGATGGCATTCAAAAAGAAAGTAGCAGCATAGCTGATGGGCTGAGTGGGTAAACAGGGAAAAATCCAATGGACATAATCTTATATCTTGATTTAGACAGGAATCTGATGGTCTCTCTTAATGGCCTTGTGGAAAAATGTAGACGAGAAGATAATGTATTTTAATACCCAGAGAATATTAGATAATTATCCAACTCATTAAACATTTACTAAGCATTTAATATATGCCAAGTACTGGGTGAAGTGTTAAGGTACAAAAAGAAAACAAAATAGCTGTTTTCAAGGAATTCAGAGCCTAGCCAAGGAGCCAGACACAGCGGACCTAACACTCAGTGTAAAGAGCTGTACGGATGAAGGACAAGAGACTTTGGGGTCGGGAACAAGTTTAGACAGGGAAGCATTATAAAGGCGACACCAGTGGACTTGGATCCTGAGATATGAGAAAATTCTGCCGCTGGGGGAGGGGGTTAAAAGCACAAGAGGTAAAGCTCCTGCTTCGGGGGCTTGTTATGAGAAAGGAGCTCTAGGGAAAAACCAGAGCGAGTAAAAGGGGCAAATCGTATTTGCAGCGGTTTTCCATTCTGAGTGCTACACAACGTAAAGAGAGATTTGGCAAGCTGGACTATGTCCAGAGAAGAGTGACCAGGTCAGTGTAAGGTCTGAAAAGCATGGAAACCGTATGAGATGAGAAGAGATCACCAAAGGGATGTGGGGTGTTCAAAGTGGGAACAGATGATCAAAGTGATTCATGATGGTGCTCCCATCCCAGGAAGCCTGTTGCCGGGAAAGGTAATGAACTGAGTTCATGGATCAGCAGTTTGGGTTGGGCGCTTGGGGGCTGTCCTGCCCATCCTGCCTGGGACCTGCCCGGGATCGTTCCTGCAGCCACAATCCTCTGACAGGGGAGGGGCTGAGTGGTCTCCGCCGGCCTCCTCCACTGACGACTCTGCTGACTGCCGGCCCCGCCTCTCAGCCCCTGTGGTCTCTCGGCCTCAGGGGGGTCAACCCGGGCGCTTCACCTACCGCAGTAGTTCGGAGGGCAGGAGTGCAAGCTGCTAGGCTTCCACCACGTTCTGCTGGTCAAAGCAAGTCGCTGTGCTGGCCCCCAGTGAAAGCGGAGGGAACTAAACCACGGCAGAGGTGGCAAGGAAATGTAGCCACTTAAACTCTACCACGGGTACACCGTGACACAAAAGTATAAAGGAGATTTGATGAAACAAATCTGCCTCGTTTCCATATACATGTCTTTTATTTGACTTTAAAGATACTCAAACTGAAAAGCCCAAATCATAAGTCCAAACTTTAACCTCCAAGGCAATTATTATGATGACACCTTAGAAAAAAATTAAAGGCAGCACTAAGTGCATGTGTATTTTATATTTGTGAATATTTTACAGTTTCTAAAGTATTTTCATCAGTGTTACCTAATCTAAATAATGAAAGCTGCATTCAGAGGTTAAATAGCAGTGTATAACTTACTTTCCTTATCTTTGTATATACTAAGTTAAGCAAAGTTACGGATATTGGTTCCAAGAGTTGTTTTTTTTTTTTTTCTTCTTTTTGGTCCCAGATTTGATATCCCTTCTAAATCTCGTTTGTTTTCCTATTAGGTTTGCCATTCATAGGTTTCGATGTGGTCTTTTACCATTTTCAGAGTTGAATTTTTCTTCTCCTGTACATAGGCTTGTCTACTCTTGTTTTCCTCTTTATGGCTTATGTTATCTAGTGGAAGTTAATATTCTCACTCTCTAATGTTTCCTTTAAAAAAAGCTTTAAGACATGAGTATCCAATTCACATTTTATTTCAATCCTATTTCCTTTTAGAAAACAAAGTATAGGGGCGCCTGGGTGGCTCAGATGATTGGGTGTTTGCCTTCGGCTCAGGTCATGATCTCCAGGTCCTGGGATCGAGCCCCACATCAGGCTCCTGGCTGGCTCAGCGGGGAGCCTGCTTCTCCCTCTGCCTCTCCCCCTGCTTGTGTGCCCTCTCTGTCTCTCTCTCAAATGAATAAATAAAATCTTAAAAAAAAAAGAAAGAAAGAAAGAAAAGAACACACACACACAACAAAGAAACTACTGCCCTCCTTAATTGTAAAATTCTGCCTTAGAGTAAAAGTTAAATTGTTCAGGGCCATCATGGGGCTAGACCACCTGCTCATCATTCCCTAAGAGATATCTGACTGTAGCCTAACTGGTCCTCCTAACCAACAGGCATGCAAAAATATGAGTGTTTTTCACCTTTACAGCTCTCACGGATCCTGGGGAGGCTAGGGGGAGTAGGAGGTTTGTATGATCTTCCTGAATGATCATTCCTTTCAAAACCTTGTGTTTATCTTCAGCTCAATGTTAAATTAGCACTGGCAGGTACAGTAGCATCTGGAATCTGCAGGACAATAAAAGCTCTCTGAGCTACATAAGAACTGATGAAATAGACAAATCTTGAATTTCTCAAACTTAGGTGGAAGCAATAAATAACATTCCATCAGCTTCAGAAGTAATGAAGACAATGCATCAGGTCTAGCTTTCTTTATGGTGGTCAAGAGCCTCATGCATTGGGGAAATTGAAAGGATGAAAATAAGAGAAAAGGAAAAAAATAGAAAGACAATTACTTCCATGTAACCTTCACTACCACAGCTCTCCCCTCCCATGCAACTCACTTAAAATCACTGCTATGAGAGAAATTCAGGTACTAATCTTGATTTCACAACTTACCACTCTTCTGTGCAATTCTTATGTATACCCATGGGAACATATTTAGATATCTATTGGTCACTCACTCCCTGACAAAGTCCAATGTTACTATGTAATTTTGAGTTGCACCCCCAACTTTTCTATGGAAGTTTCCCAACATGCAAAAGTAGACAGGATAATACAATCACTCCCTATGGACCCATGACCCAGGCTCAATAATTATCACAGCAAGGATGCCTGGGTGGCTCAGTTGGTAAAGCATCTGACTCTTGATTTTGGCTCAGGTCATGATCTCAGCATTGTGAGATCAAGATCAAGATCCGCAGAGGGCTCCGTGTTGGGGGTGGAACCTGCTTGAGATTCTCTCTCTCTCTCTCTCTCTCTGCGCCTCTGCCCCTCCCTCCTGCACACGTGCTCGCTCTCTCTCAAAAAAAAAAAAAATTATCATAGCCAGTCTTGTTTCACCTGCTTCATACTTCATTTCACCAAACATCCCGCCAGTGTTCAGATTTCCCGGATTCTCTCAAAAATGTGTCCCTAGGGTTGATTTGTTGGAAGCGAGAGCCAACAAGATCCACACATTGTACCTGGATGCCATGTCCCTTACGTCTCATG